TTACATAGAGTGCCCAGAACCAAGCTTAATAGAAGAGGAAATAGATGAGGGGAATATTTTTAAATATTAACAGATAATTTTTTCCTGTATCTCCATACATGCCCATATTCTGTGGACCTCCCCAGCTTTGGCATTTAAAGTACACCATGTCATAGAAGAATGCGGACACAAAGGCATAAAATTCCTGGCTTTGGAATATCCAAAACCTAGGATTCAGAGCAAAACAAAAACATTTGGAAGAATATATGATGAAGCAATATCTATTTTAACCTCTGCTGAAACTAGGTAACAGATGTTGGGGCTAAGGGGAAAGGTAGAGGGAATCACCTGGAATCAAAGAGAGCTAAGAAATTGGCAGCATCCCTCTCCTGACCCACTGCCTTGAGCCAAGACCCATAGGGAAGACAATGGAACTCCAGAGTGGTCTAAGGATCTGAAAGCATAGAGCTATCGCCATGGAGTCACCAGTTCCTCAGTTGCCAAATTAGTGCTGGAGAAGAGAAAATGTTGTTTTATGTGCCTAAGCCTGAGTCAGCATCATAAAATTCCCCAGTATCTAGCAGAGGTTTCTTGCATAACCGAGAGCATTGTGGACCCAACACAGTGAGGTGGAAGACCAGGAAAGGCCTCACGTGGGAGTGACCTAGAGATGGAGAACAATCTGGAAAGACGACAACTGGTGACACTTAGGACCAGACACATGTCAGTGTTATGTGGGACCTGGTTTATGCTGGCATATGGGAGCCAATTGTGTGCTTTTCTTCCCAGTGGTGTTCCTTCAGTGATGGGAAAGGTAATATGGAACTGGCCTTTGTGGGAGTATTTACACTATGGAAATCGGCAAACACTACTCATCAGGGCTCCTTTTTCTTTTTCTTTTTTTTCAGAGACTTGGTTTACCAGCACACCACTCATACCCCAATACCCCAACATTATGTAATACTTTAAGAAATTAGATTAATTTTCTACCATCCAGTGAAACAGTGGCTCAAAATAGAAATTTAATTATTATTGTAAAACTATGATCTCACATTTCTTGCACACCTGAGGTTGTGGACTGAGATTCATACTGTATCTAGAAGGCCAGCTATTGTAAAAACTAATTTTCAGAAATGTATTAAATGTTAACTGAACACTTCTAGCAAGCCATAAAACATATTGGCTATTACGTTCTTTGAAGAAAGGAATTACCTAGCATTTGACACGGCACCAGAGATATGCCTAATATTTTAAATATGGTAACATACCAACAGTGATAATTATTGCCTGCTGCATACCTTTGGAAATTGCTTAATTAAAAAGTTTCATTTCCTCACCTTCTTTTGAAAAAATCTTTTCCTATCTTTTCAATTCTTTCATCATTGTTACTTGTCTCTACTTCTGATGTGTGCGTGCAAACATTCTTGGGTTCAACCCACAAGAAAACTGTGGGTTGTAGAAGAAAATCTGATCATTACATGGACTTCAGTTGTGATATTTTAATGCACCCAATGTTTCCAGGTGCCATCAGAGAATTTCCATTTCTACAGCCATATAATGCCATCTCTATCAAATCTTAACAGCTCATGATACTGCATTTGGATATGTAGACCCTTAATAACACCATTCTGCCTTGGCATTTTGCAACCCCTTAATAATCAGTGTTACTTTTTGATAGACTTGGATCTGTGATTTATATTTTATATATTTATTATGATAATGGGCAGGCTGATAGACTTCTATTAACATTCTGAGATATATAATTGTAGTTTAAAATATTTTTATAATCCTTAGACTAAAGGGCTATTTAGACTAATACTTTTTTTAGCAGAGAGAGAGCTATTGTAAGAATTTATTAATCATTGTGAATTTTATGCAGAAAAATAACCATTTTTTCTAAAATTTTTAATGACTATTGTCTATGATGAAAGTAGTGTCTTTCCATGGCATTTTCTTCTAAAATGTTTATGAAAGAAAAAGCAGAAGAAAGAAGAAAGGTTTAGAGAACTATTCAAAGCAACCAAAGGGACTTGATTACAGGAGAATAAGTCACTCATTTTTTCAAAAACTCTGGCAAGAGGTGATAACTACATACTAAGAAGATATTCTGTTAAACACAGAGGGTCAGGTGTGCACTGAAGTTCAAATTCAACCTGAAACGTGGGTTAGAACATTTATCCTTCTCTTGCTTCAAGGAACTCAGCTGCACAAGGGGCAAGTCATCAAGAATAAACAATGAAATTTCTTTTAAATGGATATAAAATAAAACATTTCAAAGACTATCTGTTTCAGGTCCCTGGAGGTGAGGGTATAGGTGGGAAAATGATAGGTTGCAGGACAAATTCTGAGACATCTTTTTAAGTCATAGAAAACTATTATATCATTTACAAATTTATCCAATAATCACTTCTATGGCTACAAAGAAAAAATATGAAAGTTTACTTTCTGCCACAGGAACCATAAATAGATTGAATAGGTTATGTCCAATGGAATTTATTCATTAGACTGATGCAAAAAATCAGAATCATCTCAACGTTAACATGATCAAAGCTATTCAATTTATTTTCCTTCCTGAAGTTCTACTCAAAATTTTTTTTATCACTGTAAAAGATATACAGTAAGTAGGTAGATTTGAGAATCTCTTCATTTGTGCTACCTTATACTCTTTAAAGAGAACCTGTCAAAATGAATGGCATTTAA